CGGGCGGAGGCGGCGCCTGGGGCTGCTGCTTGGTCCCGGACGCGGCGTTCTCGGGCCCCTCGCCGACCCGCTGGACCATTCTGCCCCCGCGCCGCGCGCCTCCCTGGCTCCCGGGACCTGGGGACTGCGCTCTGCGTGTGTGCGGCGGGCAGCGGCCGCAGCAGCTCCTTGATTCAATAGATGAGATGGAAGGAGAAAAAAAAGAACTCTCTCCATTTGGAGAAAGAGGAGGAGGAGGGGAGGGGGTGGAGGGGGAGCGAGCGAGCGAAAGAGAAAAAGGCTGGAGCTCCCGCCCCCGGGGCTGTCAGATGGCTTGGGTTTCTGCGCCGCGATTGGCTCACCGAGGGCAGAAATTACTCAGCAAACATGACTATTATTAGCTGCTTAGCAACAGCTCACCAAAGTAGAGAGACCACCCAGGTAGGCAACCCCAGTGTGTGCTTTCCCGGCCTCGGGGGGAGCCCCCGCGAGCGCCAACCTTCTCGCACGCAGTCCTTCCATTAAGGAATGCTCCCCCCTCCTTTCTTTCTTATTCCTTTTCTTTTCAACTGTGTCTTTCTTTTTTCTTCTTTTTGGGTGAGACGCCTTTTGCGCGCGCACACGCGCACACACACAAGAGCATTTGCTTCACGACAGACACGGGGGGGATATGTAATATTTTTTTAAGCGCTTAAACAATTTCTGAAATTCCTCAAAGAAAACGCTTTCAGAGGCACCTTGGCCTCAAGCTGCAGCGAATACTGGGAGGTCCGGCTTGAATTCCCAGGCCTGCACCAATAATGACAGGGTGGTGGATAGTGCGCCAGTGTGTGCCAGATTTTTTTTTTTCCTTCTCTCTTTTCTTTTATAACTAAAGGCAAGACTTAGGCTCTCGCGGGGAACAACGCCTCGTATTAAGATAAACAAAATGGAAAGTTAAAGAGGAAAGCAAGGACGTTGGGAAAAGCCACCGTTGCTTCAAATCCGTTTCGCCCCCACCCGTCCCCCCAACACAAACACACACACTCCAGTACAGCACAGTCCAGGTCTGAAGCAGTCACTGTTATAAACGTGGAATCTAGTTATCAAAGCAGTCTCGTGGAGGCAGAGGCGGTTTTATTTGAATCTTTAATGTAACATTCATAAAAACAGAATCCTTTCAACAGCTCAGAGAAGCGGAATCTTAAGAAACGTTTTCATGATTATTTTGGGTTAATTTGGATTCCACATCCTTTTTATTAACCACAACTTCATAAAAAGTAGTTTTAAACTTTTTAAAAAAGCAAAAATCAGTATGTATCCTGTTAAGTTTAATAACAGCGTGAAGTGGGGAGAATAGAGACTTTGATGTTAGATGCATTCGAAACAAATTGTGCGCAGGTCCCGAAGATTTGTCCTGATCCTGCACCCAAGGGTCACCAAGACATCACAGAGACTCGCTTTCGGTTCAGGAAGAAAACACGTGACCGCTGGGGGTGATGGATACTAGGGCCAGAGGCAAATTAAATATATTGTCAACACAGCTACGCTTTTAAGAAAAAATATTTTTCCTAGCGTAGGATGCGTTTTTCTTACATTTTTAAATTCAGTATTTACCCGCAGTAGGGACCAACCCCACAAACCCTCGATTCTGTCTCATTTAGTATTTAGTTCTTCCTTTTTGTTTCTTTTTCCTTTCTTTTCTGAAGTTGAACTGCAGAGGGACCCCCGGTAGCCAGTAGCCGACTGAAGCCGTGAAATGGGGCAGTGTGACTTTAAGATGCACACGGTGTGTGTTCATTGAAAAAAAAAAAAGAAAGGAAAGAAAAGAAAGGAACCCAGATGGAGGGAAAGGGGGAGGAGCGGGGGAGAAGGCGGGGCGCGCGGCCACGTGACCCAGCCGGGCGCGCGCTCGTGGCCGGGGTCCGGTCCTCCC